GAGCTCTGGTGGCCGGTGACACACAGACAAATAAAGTATGTATGTGTGATAATTAACTGCTCAAGACTCTGTTTGTGTTGAGGAGGATCCGCGAGTAGCAGTGAGTTGGCTACAATCACCTTCATGATTTTCTGTACCAAGACCTTTTTGTTGAGCTGGCTTTTTTGAAATTCAAAATCATGTAGAGACTAGGACTTGACACAATGTGCCAGCAGCAGCATCATTTTGCAAACCTGTTTATTACTGTATTTTATAAGTTACATAGAGTAGTCAAATTAGACAAGTTATGATATCAGGATTATACCACCACGTTTAAAACGGGTCGGTACCCTTGCTTCTTGTCCTTGCCTTCTGGCTTGGCGTTGTATCCTTGAGCCCAAAGATAATCTGTGAAATTCTTGCTGGCTGCCTTCATGGCAACGATGATTTAGTGGACAGCTTGTGACACAGGCCAGAGGAGGGAGGTTTTTACATGGAGAGGAGCAGCAACAGGTGATATAGCAATAGACCGCCAATCATTTACTGTACAGCCATTTGAAACGGGCAACAACAGTATAGCCTACTAGAAATCAAGACACAAAACTAGCCTTGGAAAAAAAAAATTTTGAATATTATATGAGTTTATTAAACTTACTCAGACATCGTTTGGATGCAATGCATGGCAAGATTATTTTGTATTTTGATGCTAGTTACTTTAGCTTTTAGTCCACCAGTTTTTATCCAGTGAAAATTGATAGGGGTCTTATTTCAATAACATCTTGTTATGATAGGAAATATCTGTGCTCATTTTCATCTGTGAGATGCACAATCCTGTAAACGTCTTCTGCACCCACCCATATTTACATATCTTTGATCCTGATATGTAAACCAGATCAAACTCTGGTTCTGTTTTTCCCAGGGCTGATTAGACTAAATTCAAATTGATACTTGTTTTTTTTTAGGTAGGGTAAGACACTGTAGCATATTTGTGAATTTCTTGCAGCAACTGGGAAGAAAGGGTGAACTGGAAGGAAGGTCAGTACCAAGGACAGTGACCTCTCCCACTGATGCCACAGTGAGGTGTGACAGCCCAAATCCAAGTACACATCCCATTACATTTTCCCCATGTTACATCCTAAGTTACAGAAACCACTCTATAACGATATGCAATATATTCTTGAACCAGACCAACCAACCATGAAGTGAACCATGTAAGTATCTAACGCATGGGTGGCCACACCATGGTCCGTGGCCCGCTGCCTGTTTTTAAATGGCCCGCAGGGAATTTTTAAAAATAAGCTAGAATATGGCTTGAGCATATTTCTAATAAACATTTGGCCTACACAATGAGTACCTCCACTTTTATATTTTAAGTACATTTCCTTGATTATTTCGTTATATACGTACTTCAGAGTAGAGCAGAGTGCAAGTCAACGCAACTTCCGGTAACATAAGCTGTTAAGCTCAGCTGCATGCATGGGAATGAATTACAATATAATAAGTGTCTGATTCAGTTAGTTGTTCCAAATGTTTTAAGGTGGTTCCTCCACGGCTTATCTTTGACTTGCAGTTGTGACAGATAGTGAGTTTTATGTCTTCTTCACTCCCCCATACAAAACTATCATGCAGCGCCGGCTCACGTGTGTACTTCTGAAGCTGATAATCTGAAATCCAGCCCGTTTCGATCGGCAGCCAGGTATAGTCAAATTCATAACATAGGGCAAATTCATAACGGTGTGTTTTCTATAATTTTTATGCCCTACCCCTATGATCAGGGCATCTTTAAAAGTTATACTTTCTTCCGCTTTTTTTCCTCTTTTTGCTGATCGGATCCTTTACTCAAAACCAAGAGACGATCAGAACCTGTTTTGTGATCCGCCTCTCCCCTACAAATTATCTACTTTTATGCCTCTGTGTCAGGGACAACTGTGGCCGGAGGCATAATGTTTTCGGGTTGTCCATATGTCCGTGAACCCGATATTTCAAATTTTACACAAGGTCACTGTGACCTCACAAAATGCGTCTTTGGCCATACTCAAGAAGTCATATTCTGAAGAAAGCCTCCTGCTGACAAGTGTTGTAAATGAGCTTTTCATTACAGACACTAGTGCATATGGTTCTTGCTCATAAATGTATGTTACAATTCCAAATCTACAGTGATGTCCACAGCAAATAAACTAATTATGACAATTGTACATAAATGTGTAGGCAAAAAAAACTTAATTTATACTGTATGCAAAAAAACAAACAAAAAATTGTCCACAAATGCACGTTATTATCATAATGGCATATCTCTTAAGGGGAGACTTGTGGGTACCTACAGAACCCATTTTTATTCAGATATCTGGAGGTGAGAGATCAAGGGAGCTTTTTGAAAACTACCATGTCAGTTTTCCTTCTTTACATAGTCATCCAGCCCCCTTTCACATGGCTGGTACCTATGATACCTTTGATTGATCAGGTTGTCTCCTTCGGGTCTCTGAGGCTTAGGGTTGTTCCTCAACAGCTTATTTAGGACTTGCTGTTGTGACAAATTATTAGCTCTCTGTTTTCTTTACTCACCGACACATATTGTGTGCGTGTGTCTGTGAAGCTATCAGCCTAAAACTGGGCGGTTGCTGTCAGCTGCCGATCGATTGGTGCATCTCTAAATTACTTCGGACATGCAAATCAAGCAAACATGTTCAATAGGTAACCATTCAACCGGAACTAGCATATCATTTGTGACTCAATGTCATCCATGATAGACTTTCTGAAGGATGCCATACACTAGGCCAGGCCCTGATATACAGTACCAATACCCTGTCATTGAACCTCGCTTAATGATAAGGTAACAACAGTCACTTATTTAGAACGTCCTCCATACAGTGAACATACAAAAAGGTTGACAATGTGTTTTCTTTAATACCACAATTCTGAACTCCTTTACTTCGCTCTTATCTATTCCAGGCGTCCTCAGGGAATGGGACCTCAAAGGTCCCATTCCCAGCTGTCCTCAGTCCTTAACCCTCTGACTTGTTCTGCCATCACATGTGCACACACAAGGGAAGGTGTGAGGCACCTTGTCTCTCTTAAGTTTGAAATCTGAGCCAGCTGTGGTTTCAGATGAGGTTGCTATTGTTAGAATTGTTATTTACTGAGGGTCACTTGAGGAGGTGTTGAGTATTGGACATGCCTCCATGTGTCCTTCACTTGTCTTACCCTTCTCCATTCAGACAACAAAGTGAGTGGTTGGTGCAGGTTGTGCTCAGATCTGGAAGATTAAATGTTTCTTCTGCTGATGAATACTGAACATTGCACATAACAGAGAGCGAGAAAGGTAGGGTTTGAATAACATTATATTTTAATGACTTTGTTTCATTCATTCCTTCAGTAATACATTGGTCATTATGTGAAATGTTTCTCATGACATGCATAATCTGCAATTTGTGCTCATTAAATATTACAGTTTTCATGAAATATTGTAATATTGTTGGACAATTATCAGATATTGCATTTTATATAAGTGAGCTTACTTCAATATATTGTGATACACTTAAGTGTAGTTTAGTATAGTTTATTGCAATGCATTTAAATGATTTGCTGATACGTAGACATTTCACTTAATCTGTAATAATATTGTATGTTTGAAGTTACACTTACCTAACAGAGAGCTGAAGTGCCTTTGGTCACAATTTCTATAACATTTCATGCTCGTCTTTTTAAAAAAAGGCTTTTATTGTGAAACACTAAGTTTCGGAATGAGACACCTGGTACACAAGAGTCAGTACACCAGGTGAGCCTATAAGAGAATTTCCGCTTTGTATTGCAAATAGTATCTGTTATGTTAATGACACTGTAACATGATCATAATATGTAAATAATCAGACAATTATGTAAAGAGGTCTTGACTATTCGGCAGTGTGAATCATGCTGTGGATGTAAATACTATCTATTAATGAAGTGTCACATCACAGAGATTTCTCTATTTATCACAGTACTGTTTATTCCTACCCTGCTGCAGTGATGTATTGTACTCCCAGATGTGTCCCTCCTCTGTGACCTCACTGCTGGGTACACTTTTGACCACATCGAGCCTCCCATCCCCCTATCGGTGTTGCGGGGTATGATCGGAGGTCCTTCACAGGATTAGTGATACATAATAATAAAAATATGACAATATATCCATAACTAATCACTGTATTCTTAATGTATAACTATGAATTCAATATTTGACATATTTGTGGTATCGTACATTTAGTTGATTTGATTTACCCGAAATAAAAATTAAATGCATTCAACTAATGAACATTAAGCCTTTCTAGAGCTGTTTTGATGAATTACTGAAACCATTAACATATTAGTCAAGTTTTTAAACTAAAATCCACGTTTTAACTAGAAGGTACAGATCTCTGCAAGATGTGTCTGCAACGACCACTGTTAAATGCATGAATACGACCCACAATCAGGGCTGAACTGCACATAATTCAGGTCTCACTCAACAGACCTGCTCTTATTTTAATCTCTGCAGGTGTCTGCACCGGCTCTGTGCAGGTGTCTGCACCGGCTCTTTGCAGGTGTCTGCACCGGCTCTGTGCAGGCGTGCGTCTCAGCTCCATCTCACAGGCAACGCATCTAAATTATTTAGACTTCCACACACATTTGTGCCAGAGATGATAATCATTTGCACAAGAAAAGATCCAGATTTCTTTTTTAATGCTTGTGTAGTGTGTAGACTACAATCCTACATTTTACGTACAGGTTGTAATTGGTAAATAGATACAATTTAAACAAGGAGATGCATTGTAATTATGTAATAGTAATGGCCACATCCTAGTAGACCTGCTATAATACCCCAGTTAACTTAAGTTTCACTAGTATCCTTAGATTTTTTTCTAAGTTCTAATGTATTTTAAAGTACATTTAACAAAAAAAAAAAGCCAAGGCACAGTTTGAGCTGCAGATCAATTTAATTCTACTGAACAACTAACATGCTTAGGGAGACACCATTATTCACACATCAGGTGTCTCAGAAACACAAATTCATTCCACGAGCTTCATTCTTCGTCGTGTCCTTTCTGAAATAAGAAAAACAACAAGTAAACAATTTAAAATGTTATTTTCAAAATGAATTATAAGTCGTGAAACTTTTAAATGTTGTAGATTCACTGTCCTACATATTAGTTAGACGGTTATGTGCACACTGTACACAATTTAACTGGTGGCATTAAGGGATTCTGGTAGAAATATAATGACCTTTGACCCCACATCTCGGCTCTTGACCCGTAGCTTGTTGACCTGAGTCTCAGCGATGTCCGCTCTCTCTTCAGCTTCATCAAACTCATGTTGGAGTTTACGAAACTTGCCAAGATTATTGTTGGCCTGTTCCTCCTGTAGAATACAAACACAATAGCACATATATTTCTGCACTAACAGCATTCCTTATATAATGAAACATTTAAATTTTGATTTTCCATATTTCCCAGCTCTACCACATGGCTTTTTACTGTATTGAGCACATTGACATTGACTGTCCATGCCCCACAGCACATGGACAGTTTCTATGTTTTTGATCTAGATTAGTAGAGTACTTACAGCTTCCTCTGAAACTCTCTTGTAGGATTTGACCTTAAGCTGCAGCTTGTCTACCAGATCTTGCAGACGGACAAGATTCTTACGGTCCTCTTCTGTCTGGATACAAAAAACAAACCAAAAAATTATAATTTAGATTAGAAATAACAGTCTCAGTGTTCCACTATGCGGTAAATGGATAGAAACTTGCCTGATAGGTCAACTCTTTGATTCGTCTTTCATATTTTCGTATTCCCTTGACAGAATCACTGGACTTTCTTTGTTCAGCCTCTAATTCACTCTCCAGTTCTCTGATCTGTTGAGGGAATGATGTGAAGTTATTTTAATATTAGTTTGTTGGCTAATAATAATAATAATTCTAGAATGTTAATTATCGTCAGATTTTTCAAATTTAGGGATGACATTGTTCATTTCAAATATTTGATACTCACCCTGGCCTCGAGCTTCTGCAACTGCTTCTTGCCTCCCTTCAAGGCGATCTGTTCAGCTTCATCCAGACGGTGCTGCAGGTCTTTGATGGTTTGCTCCATGTTCTTCTTCATGCGCTCCAGGTGAGCGCTGGTGTCCTGCTCTTTCTTCAGCTCCTCTGCCATCATGGCAGCATCAGTAATGGCCTTCTTGGCCTTCTCTTCAGCATTTCTGCACTCCTGCACCGCATCTTCTACTTCTGTCTGAAGCTGGGATGTATCAGCTTCCAGCTTCTTCTTTTGGTTTATCAGGCTGGTGTTCTAGTTTTAAATAAGTAGTTGAATTTGCATTGTAACAGTGCATGTAAAACAAACATGCTAGGACATATTGATATCCACGGCATCTTACCTGTGAGTGCAGTAGCTGCACCCTTTCACTAACGTCCAGCAGCTCTTGCTCAGCAAGTTTGCGACCTCTCTCAGTTTGCTCCAGAGCAGCCCTGAGCTCCTCCACTTCGGCCTGAAGCAAGTTGTTGCGTCTCTCGACCATGGCATTGTTTTCCTTCAGATCATCATTGGCTCGAAGAGAGTCATCAAGCTGGAGCTGAGCATCCTGGAAGATGAAATCAAAAGGAATTTCAATTTGAGTTATTTGCGCGTAAGCGATAGATAATCATTATCATTTTTCTTGAGTTCTTCATACCTTCAGATGGGCATTAACAGCCCTAAGTTGTTTCTGGGCCTCAGCTGCCTGCCTGTTGGCCTGGCTCAGCTGGATCTCCATCTCATTGAGGTCTCCCTCCATCTTCTTCTTCAAACGGAGAGCCTCATTCCTGCTGCGAGTCTCTGCCTCAAGAGAGCTCTGAAGAGTATCCACAATTCGCTGTTGGTTTCTCTTTGCTTGCTCCATCTCTTCATCTTTCTCGGCTAGCTTGCGCTCAATATCGGCCTTAATCTGGTTGAACTCGAGCTGGGCTCTGAGAATCTTCCCTTCCTCATGCTCCAGTGAGGCCTATCATGAAATAAAGGATGAAAATGAAATATATACAAAGGAAATGTTCATGAGGTCCCCAGTAGAACGTTCAACATACTTCTGCTTCCTCCAGGGCTGTCTGTATCTCACACTTCTCTTGGTCCAACTGTTTACGAATCTTCTCAAGCTCGTGAATACTCTTTCCACTCTCACCAATTTGCTCAGTGAGGTCAGATATTTCCTCTGAGAAACAAAATGTAACATTGTCAATGGTTTGGTCATGAGAACGAATTCTACAACAGAGGTGTAAGCTGGTTTTACCCTTACCCTGCAGATTCTTGTTCTCCCTCTTCATGGTCTCCAGATGTTCAATAGATTCTTCATATGAGTTCTTGAGTTTGAAGAGCTCAGTGCTCAGAGACCTGGCTTCCTTCTGAGAGCTCTCCAACTCACACTGAGACTCTTCATACTTCTGTTTCCATTCTGCCAACACCTGAAATATGTATGCTTAAAGGTCAGTTATACTCTAATTGTCCGTCTAAAGGAGCCAAGGTGCCAGATGTATTCTAAGTTCAACCTTGTCAAAGTTTCTTTGCTTCTTGTCCAGAGCAGCAGCAGCAGCATTAGACCTCTCCACATCCACCATGAGATCTTCAATCTCATTCTGCAGCCTGTGTTTGGTCTTCTCCAGAGACGAACATTTAGCGTTCACTGCTTCAACAGCCTCCTCAGCATCCTGCAGACGCTGAGTCAGCTTCTTCCTGCATTATGATAAAATTGATTCAGGGTTGATTGCTTTTAAACTTTGTTGAATTGTTCCGGTCAAAATATGTTTTACTCACTTGGCCTCCTCCAGTTCCTCGGTTCTCTGGATGGCATCAGTTTCGTACTTAGTTCTCCACTGAGCCACCTCAGAGTTGGCCTTGGACATGCCGCGCTGCAGTTCAGCCTTGGCCTCCTGCTCCTCCTCATACTGCTCCCTGAGGAGGTCACAGTCATGACGAGCTGACTGCACTGCATGGGCTAAAGCATTCTTGGCCTGAAATGAAAGCATATCTTGGTGCATCTTCATGTACCACCATCTGTACCAAGTTCTCTCTGGTATTTGGAACCTACCTTCACTTCCTCCTCTAGTTGTCTTTTAAGGTCTTCAATTTGTTGAGTGTAGGACTGTTTTCCTCTGGTAAGTTGAGACACCAGGGAATCCTTTTCCTCAAGCCGCCTTGAAAGTTCACCTAATTTTGATAGAAGAATAAAATGAGCATTTCATGATATCCTGAACAAAACAGACTGTTGAAATCAAATGCATACCATTCTCAGTTTGAAGCTTCGCTTTCTGCATAGTGAAGTCATTGATGGACCGCTGTCCCTCTTCTGCCTTTGTTTTGTATTCATTCATCTGGTCCTCCAGAGACCTGCACATTTTCTCCAAATTATTCTGAAAACAAAAGGCATTAACAAGGAATGAAAGGTGTCTTAGACTAACAGAATAACATGTTAATCAACAAATAGGTAGTAAAATATATACATGAAAGTATTTTACCTTAGCCTTTACAATATGTTCCATATTGGAGACCACGTCATCCAGCTCCAGTCTGAACTCACTCTTCTCCTTCTCCAGTTTCTGCTTGACTCTCTGCAGGTTGTCAATCTGCTCTCCCAGGTCGGCCACACTGTCGGCTTGTTTCTTCCTGAGTGTGGCAGCAGTGGTTTCATGCTGCAGAGTGGCCTCTTCGAGGTCTCTGCGGAGTTTCTGGAACTCGGCCTCTCTCTTCTTGTTCATCTCAATCTGGACAGATGTTGCTCCACCGGCCTCCTCCAGCCTCTCACTGATCTCCTCCAGCTCTCTGGCTAAGTCTGCTCTCTGCTTTTCCACCTTGGCTCGGGCAGCTCGCTCTGCCTCCAGCTCTTCCTCCAGCTCCTCAATGCGGGCCTAGACCAAAATGATGGACTTAGAATGCCATGATCATGCACCAGTTTACCAAAATGTCTTTATCCTGTGGAAATTATTACCTGTAACTCCTTCAATTTCTTTTGGAGCTGGGCACTCATCAATTGTTCATCTTCTATTTTACCATTGAGTTGGCTGATTTCAAAATCTTTCCTGTGGATAGAAAAAATAACTAAAATATAACTTCTTACACTTAGTTGAAGATCTATTTGCGTTTTACATTGGCACTTTTCATTTTACTTTTTCAGCCTCTCCTCGACTTGCTGCTTGTCATTTTCCAGGTCCATAATACTCTCTTGCGCTAACTTTAGGTCTCCCTCAAGCTTCCGCTTTGCTCTCTCAAGGTCCATACGCACTTTCTTCTCTTGCTCAAGGGACCCTTCGAGCTGCGAGTCGTAATAAATAACTTGTTATTCAGTCATGATTTCACGTTACAGACAAATCCACCGTATCTTATAAATTCTTACATCATCCACTTGCTGCTCCAGCTTAGCCTTGGCCTTGGTCAGAGTGTTGACTTTGTCTTCTTCACTCTGCAGATCATCCAGCGTTTGCTGATGAGCTTCCTGTAAGGCTTTCTTTTCCTTGGTCAACTTGGCAATGATTTCATCCAAAGCAGCCATCTCTTCCACCAGGTTCTTCACCTATGGACATTTATATATCAAGGACTTCAATGCAGATGTTATTTGGGACACTTTACAGTGATTAGTGTACGTCATACCTTGTTCTCAGTGGCGTGCTTCTCTTTCTCCACTTTAGCCAGAGTCAACTCCAAGTCATCAATGTCTTTCTTCAGCTCAGAGCACTCATCCTCCAGCTTCCTCTTCTTAGCAGTTAGTTCAGCATTCATCTCCTCCTCATCCTCCAGTCTCTCAGACAGCTCTTTGGATTTAGCCTCCAGCTGAATCTTGCTCTTGATAAGCCCCTCGCATCTTTCCTCAGCATCACCCAGATTATCTTGCTCCTGTTGTTATTTGAAAGGCACAGTGTTAAACATTTGCAGACTTTGTTTGATTTTGATATAATTTGTAAAGCTGACAGATTTTAAACGTACAGATTGAACTAGGAGCTGCAAGTCGTTCTTCTCTTGGAGAAGAGTCACCATCTTTTCTTCAAGTTCTTTCTTGCGGGCCTCAGATTTTGCGTAAGCCTCTTTTAGTTTGGTGAACTCTTCCTTCATGTTGGCCATCTCCTTCTCACTCTCTGCTGATTTCAGCAGAGGTTTGATCTTGAAGTACATCTTCATCCAGGGCCAATTCTTGACCCCCATGAAGGCACGGATGTTCCACTGGATCACAAGTAGTGAATCCCTGCAGACAACAGATCATTGTGAGTTTTTTTCTTCTTTCTTTTATTTTAAATTTGAAACAACCATACAAGCTATGTACACATATCCTCAAATGAAATACACATACTTCTTATACTTCTGTCCAGCATGAACGCATATATAAAAAACTAAAATCCAGTTTTAACCTGATAAATGTCCATTTCAATATGACCTAAATCGATTTCCATCCCTCACGATGCTCTCCTATTTTAAAATATTTATTTCAAAGGCAGTTGATTTGTCTGTGTATGTAAGGCAGAGTACATCTCCATTATGAGGAACTTTTTGTCATAGATTATGGTGTCTTCGTATTGATAGGTAGAGTTTTTCCATATCAAATTAAGAGAGAGGGGAGAGAGAGTTGTATGCTGCACGGATTGTAAAACCCCTTGAGTCAAATGTGTGATTTGTCATATTGGGCTATATTAAATAAAAATAGCCTTAATTTACTGACAGAGTTTGGACATGCTGTGAGCAGTTACCTGCGTTCAACGATCTTCTGGAACTCAATTCTTGCCAGAAGGCCTCGGGCCCGGGCTTGGATACCAGTGATGATTAGTGCTAGACGGTCATCACGCATCTCCTCTAGCAGACCCAGCAATCCGGCTTTGAAGAACACCTTTTTTTATAGAGTCAGATTAGATAGTCTGTAATAACATATAGATGTTATACAAAGTGCATCTACTGTATATAAACTACTGACCTTGGTGTGCCCCAGTTTGTACTGGCTGTGGTCAATATCCAGAGAACCCAACAGTTTCTCGGCAGCCTTCTTGTTGTCGATGAACTGTCCCTCAGGAATGGCATTAGGGTTCAGAATACGGTATCTTCAAAACCAACACATAAATTGTTTTGCATGTTGGGAAATAAGTTGTAAACAGCACCAGCAATTCTGACAAGACAATCATTTGTTTTCAATGGTAGTTTTAAATGTGGTTTTGTCCATCACATGCAAACCTCTGTTTGAAATCTCCATAGAGGATCCTGTTGGGGAAGCCCTTTCTGCAGATCCTGATGCCTTCCAGCACGCCGTTACAGCGCAGCTGGTGCATCACCAGAGGGTTCTCCATGGCCCCAGGAGTCTTGGTCTCATTGGGGATGATGCAGCGGACAAAGTGAGGGTGAGTAGACCTCAAGTTGGTCATCAGCTTGTTCAGGTTCTCCTGCAAGTTTTCAACACAAAACCTTTAAGACATTTTGTGTTTTCATTTTGTTTAATGCAATGAAATGTGTGCCTAAATAATTAAACTCGATACGTTATCAGAAATCAGTTATTGTGTCATAACCGTGGGAAAATATGTACACAGTACTTTTGGTAAACGATTAACCTGAAGAAATTTCTGTGTTGGTTAGCTTACATCCTCTATTCATCAATGCTGTTTTAAAATAGCCTTGCAATATTTGACCAACATTTGAAAATGTCAATGAAAAAAACAAACATTTATATTTTACCCTGTGCAAAGCTGATACAGTTTGGAAGGAAGAACCTTTCTTCTTTGTACCTTTCCCTTTCCCACCAGAATCTAAATATAATATAAAATAGAAATTAAATTGAGCGGACAGAAAACTGTACAGTAATGTTAGTCATTGTTAAATATTTCTGTAGGCTTTAATGTATTTGTATTAACTAGTGAGTGTCCACATACCTGCATCAGCTCCTGCATACCCAACAAAAAGAGTAGACAAAAGCTTAAGGGTAGACTTCTGGAAGAGTCCGACAACGGTCTCGTTCAGAGGATCCTTGTTCTTCACCAGCCAGTTGTTGATATTATAATCAACAGTTCCAGCGTAGTGAACCAGGGAGAAATGAGCCTCTGGTTTTCCTTTGACAATTCTGGGCTTCTGGAAGTTGGCAGATTTCCCCAGATGGTTGTCATAGAGCTTTGCTTTAAAGGTGGCATCAGAGGCTTTGGGGAACATGCACTCCTCTTCAAGGATGGACATGATACCCATGGGCTGAAGGGACAACAATAAAAGTGGTTTTAAATGACCACACGTTTTTACTTTTTAATTCATGAACATGTAATCGTCCAGTCTCTCACCTTTTCAATCAGGTCAATACAGGCCTGCAAGTCCATACCAAAATCTATGAAAGTCCATTCAATGCCCTCTTTCTTGTACTCTTCCTGCTCCAGCACAAACATGTGGTGGTTGAAAAACTGTTGCAGCTTTTCATTGGTGAAGTTGATGCACATCTGCTCAAAGGTGTTGAACTGGAATGACATCGATATTGAGCAGAAATTAACTCAGGCATGAAAATGTTACTACTGTTTATTAGCGTTATATTCCATTCCAAACTCACATCAAAGATCTCAAATCCAGCAATGTCCAGTACACCAATGAAGTACTGGCGGGGCTGCTTGGTCTCCAGGGATTGGTTGATCCTCACCACCATCCACATAAACATCTTCTCATACACTGATTTAGCCAGTGCACTAACAGAATAGGACACCTTGGGAAAAAATAATCAGTAATATTTGTAAAATGTCCCGTTTTATTCAATCAAACTTTCTTCAAAGGGGTTCCTTCAAGTCATTACCTGAGCGACATTTTGTCCCTTGGTGACCCACTCATTTCCTACTTTGACTCGTGGGTGACAAAGACCTTTGATGAGGTCGGCAGAGTTCAGGCACATCAGATATGAAATTTTGTCAGCAACTGAGAAAGTAAAGATATACATAAGTGTTTTTTCTTTACCCTGGCACTGGGCATGCTCTTTCAGCTCCCCTATCTTTCTCTTTAGTGTTCTTTGACACATAAAGTATGGACCGGTGGTCGAACAAACGTGGTTGAACATGCCAAGGTGGAAACATAGTGTCATGTAAATAATGCTTTTCTTTGATACCGTCTCAATTTAATTAATATTTTACAAGTGGCTATTCCAACGGATTCTTTTTTCCAAGCTTGTTAGTGCAGCTTTAAAATAACTTCAGAATGACTTGATGCAGTGGCTCAGCTGTGGTTGTCATGTGGAGCACAAGGATTCGGGAGGGCACGCTCTGCCAACTGCCCTCACAATTTCATTCTCATTCATTTGCATTTGTTTAAGTCTTTTGTTTCAATGCAACAAATGCAAAATGTTAGGCAAAGCCTCAATACTGACAGGAAGTGCTGAAAAAGGCTTGCTTCTTGACTATATCTTATAAATACATTCAGTTGTCAGTTTATTAGGTGCAGCTAGCTAAAACTAATGCAGTCTAATACAAACTTCCTGCAATAAATCCTACCATCATTACGTAATCATCATTATAACGTAAAATATTTATTGAAACAGTTTAAATGTATTTCATTACACTAACGTCTTTCTATTATTTTGTCCACACCATTTCACCAAAGAGGGTAGGTTAAATAACAGAAACATCGTATAATGCAATTAAGTTCAACACCAACACAAACTACATTCTCCAAAATGACCATAAAGTTGAATCAACACCTCACTAAGTGGACCTAACAAGCTGGAGCGTGTATGAAAAAAGCATAGATGACTTTACATCATCAAATTATTATTATGTTTTAAGATGGTTAAGAATGTTGGATCTCCACTATGCCAAATCTGTAATAATAACAATGATAATACCTATCTACATATGATAACTTCTCTCACCTTCAGTGCCATCAGCCTCCGCCTGCTCTTCTCGCTGCTTCTGCTTGAACTTCATGTTACCATAATGCATGATGGCACCAGTCAGCTTATAAATACTATTCTTCTCTTCTTGAGTGAAGCCCAGCACATCAAAGGCATCCTGAATGAAATAAGAAGAAAAAAAAATCTTGCATTTCCTAATATTGTTCTTAATTGATGTTTGATTAAAAAAAATCTTTGCTGCTGTCAATCAAAGATTCAGCTCACATCAGTGGCTGTCAGCTCCTCAGAGTCATTGATGGAGGCTACTGTCGTCTCTCCTTGGGAGATGAAGGCGTAGTCATAGGGGTTGTTGGTGATGAGCAACATTTCTAAAAAAATATATATTCACAAAGTATAAAATATTTATTTTATGATACAACGCATGATACAGTACATTAATAAACGTACATCACATGTATATTGTGCACTTACCCAGAAGTTCAGGCTTTGCCTGAGACAGGATCTGGTAGAAGATGTGGTAATCCCTCTCAGCTTTGAGCTGGTAGGTCACACGAGACTTTTCCAAAAGGTCTGTTAGAGGTTTAATATGTTATGTTATTTTGTTTTGTCCGGAATAAATAAGTTGCTATCGGTGTAGGCTTAGCTATAACTACTGGCATTCTATCGCTCATTGATGCAACAATACAACATCAACAGGTTTGTAAACAGATAACACATTTACTAAAACAAAACGGTCAGAACTGCGAACTGCGAATTAAGTGTGAACAAACATTATTTAATTACTTTTTATGAATCCATTTTTAGTTTACATGTGTGGCACATTGGTTCAGTGGTGACAGCAATGAGCTCCTGGGTTCTTTGTGTAAGGCGTCTGTATGTTGGCTCTAGTATCAGTGGTTCCTTGGGTTGCTCTGATTTAGTACTATGCGCAGATTAGACAACTGGAGACTAAGTGGCACATAGGTTTAAATGTAAGTTGGAAATGAGTGTGTTCCTCTCCATCCTGCCTCTCACATGCAGGGATTGGCTCCAAATAACAAATGCACTAGGAAACGGATGATTGAATGGATTTAGTTTTACTTACAAGTCTCAATATCAGCAGAGGCCAACTTTCCTCGGTTGTCAAAATGAATTCTGATGAATTTACCCTAAGAGGAAAAAAAGTGTTCATCTATTTCTAAAACGAAAATAATTACCATATTAGTGATAATCAAGAAGCCCAACTGCAGTCACGCAGACACTCACAAATCTAGAAGAGTTGTCATTCCTGATAGTCTTGGCATTCCCAAAGGCCTCCAAAGCAGGGTTGGCCTGAATGATTTGATCCTCCAGGGTTCCCTGAATTGGTCCAGTGCCAAGTAAAAATACCAAATGTGTCTCAGTTATTAGAAATTATTTTCAATGGAAGTGAAATTGTGCTTTGCAACTGATACTTTGCAAAATATTCAGAAATATTTATCATTGAACAGACCTTCTTTTCAGCTGCTGGATCTTTCTTCCCACCCGGGGCGGCAGCAATGCTGGCAAAGTACTGAATGACACGCTTGGTGTTGACAGTCTTTCCAGCACCGGATTCTCCGCTGAGTGGGAGAGAGACAGAACGTTTTAGTGCAAAACCCAAGACCCTTTAACTACTGAGGTCATTTTATTTGGGCCTGTGTGACTTACGTGATAAGGATAGACTGGTTTTCTCTGTCTGTCAGCAAGATGGATATTCAAATCATCAGTAAAAAATGGAATTACGTCAAAGTTGAAAATTTAAATAAAAATGAAGGGTAAAATAGATTATTCACCTGACAGCATGTACTGGTATGCATTGTCAGAGATGGAGAAGATGTGAGGAGGAGCTTCAGCCCTCTTCTTTCCTCTATAGGCAACAACCACCTCTTGGTTGTAGACTGGCAGCCCCTTGTAGGGGTTGACAGTCACACAGAAGAGTCCAGAGTAGGTCTGTTGTAGTAAGAGAGGAGTAGACGATAGTGGCTTCAGATGCCGAGTGTCTAACTAACGAAGGAGAGTTACGTATTAGGAAATTGTCTTACATAGATCATCCACGCTGCATAACGCTCTTTGAGGTTAAACAGCACAGCTGGCTCATGGAGGAAGGTGAACATCGCCATGTCTTCAATTTTATCAAACTTTGGCGGGTTCTGAGGGTGGACATCACAATCCTTCACTGTGACAGTCTGAAAAAAGAGATAGCACAGTCTCAAACAAAGGTCAAGACTTGTATTGAGAAACATTTGAACTGAGCTCCATTGATATAATGTGCATACCTTTCCAAACTCAGTCTGAACGGTGACTTTGTCGCCGTCCCGACTCGTGATGGATGCCTTGACGAACTCAACCTCGGGGTCAGGAACGAAGCACTCCTTCTTCATGTCAAATTGACGAGTTTGGGCCTCTAGACGCTCCATATCTGACTTCCTAAGAAAAGAAGCAGCGGCCCCAAACGCTGCCATTGCGGCATCGCCCATTTTTCAACCTATTAAGAATAGAACATCTTTAACGTCCTGTGATTTTGCACACACGTGAATGACCCGTAGAGCATTCACATAAGACAAACATCGTTCAAAATGCATTTGACATAATGACTCTATAATGAAAATGTACAAAAATGTAAATAATGAAAATGTTTACAGTCATTGTGTTGTTAACATACCTATATTATTTAAAACTTTTTATAAATGGATGCACCTCTAACATTAGAGTTACAGACATGATAAGACGTGCCAGGGCTTTTGATATGCAATGAAAACAACCCCAAAATGGCAGAATCAGAAAAGACATTTGTTTGTTGCCGACACGTATCAACAGGACGGCAAGATGCTGAATCATTGGCTTAACTATTGCACTGTAAAAATTGCACTGTCACATTTACCTGAGGTGTTTCACTCCACAGGAATTTGGAATCTGTTATTTATATTTAATAGGCAGAAGAAAACCAAAATATTATATTACGTCATTATTTAATGAGATAAATCAAATGACAAGTAAAAAACAAAAAAGGTTTATAGTAACACAATGCATCTTCTCAACTAAAATGTTTTACTAACTACATACAAAATGTAGCTAGCACCAACAACTGTCTACATATAGCTGGGACTAATTTGAACAGACAACATAACAGCGTCTCACTTGAGTGGATGTTGTTCTTACCTTTGACCGTCAACCTTTGTCTAGTAAAACGGATCCAGTGGCTGACACCAGGCTGCCTCTCCACTAATAAAGGTTGTTAGTCAACCAAATATGGGGATGCATCATCAGAGAAATGGCATCCAGGTTGCCTATCACAAAAAGCATTCTCCAAATTGGGTAGAGCCCAGGGCTGCTATTTGTTGCTCTCACCTTGTGAACAATAGACTCATACGATACTTGTGATGGCAGATGAAAAGGGAAAGGCAGGAGGTGGGGGCGCAGGGACAAGCTGCAATCTATCAATGTATTCTCTTTTGTCCCCTTTATATCAAGCAGTTTTGGAATAATAATCAACATCAGAGTGGCTTCAAAAGTAAATGATAAAATAAATCAAAATTAAGTAAATGCGGGACATTTCATTATTTTAAGTTTCTATGCTTGTTGATTATACTACATGAATCAGTGCCTTTATTTAAGGGCATGCTTGTTGTAAAGGGAGTACAAGTCCCCATCCATCTACAACACTGATAATCTTAAATGAATCATTCGTCTGTATCAATCCATGACCAAGACATGATAGGACTTACTCTACTGTATGCCCCAAAACAGCACTTATGTGTTGCTTACAAGTTAGATCCACTGTGCTTTTGTAATAATCCATGTCTGTCATTCATGTTCAACAATAGTCTGTCAAGTGATATGGTGTGAAATACAATTCAAGAGGGAGTATAAAGAGCTGCAGCTGTTGTCGACAGATAGGCAAGACAACACCAAGGTCACAGCTGTGAAATCCCCTTTTCATCACTCATGACTCTTCACAGATATTCGCCCGTCTAACAATGGTCCCTTGGCATCATTTTATTTTCCTTACCAGCAATAGAAATGTTCTGACACTGTGCAGTCCAACTAGTGTTCATCTTACATGAAGCTGAAGTTACTTGGGCTGGCCTTTTGAGACAGACACTTCTCAATGACCTGGACCAGGGCTGGCAAACACATGGGCTTACAACAAACCTAATAGTAATTGGCAGTGAGACACAAAATTAAAAAGCATAAATCTGTAGGAACTGTCACTGACAGTGGATGCCTCCCTGGATGGCAATACAGATACCATCTGCAAAGCCAAGAGAAAGCTGAATAATCATGTGGCCGTTTATTATTATACAGTATTTGATGTGTAATTGATGGAGGTGTAAGATGTGGAATTATACCCTAACACGGTAACCTGACGTGCCAAATGGTTTGTTAACACAGAACCACGCGATTGCCTATGTATACAGATAGATATGGATATAGTCTCGTGTTCTAATGTTATCATCACTGTAATCAGTACGATAGCCTCATACTGAACATCAGAAGAAAACATTAATAGAACGACAAGTGTGAAAACGGTTGGTTGCATTATTGCGTCAGGTTTTTCTTTTAAAGTTATCATGCTAATAAGACATAAAAAGTGTTACAAATTGAAATAACTGAAATAGAAATTGTATTTACATTAGTTTGGCAGAGCCTTTATTTTATTGCTGTAATTGCTACATGTACAATGATTAAACAACCATCAGGATAAAGTCCTTTTCACAGCGGTGACAAAAACAAAGAACTAAAGGAAAATGCGTAATATTTGTTGTTTTTTGCATTCAAGCTTTTCACACCAAGGCTTACACAAATATTGGCAATCCGTGCATTCTAATGAAAATTAAAGTTTGCACTGTCACACAGTCATCAATTCATAAGTTGTTTTTTCAATAAGAAACCCACACTCAACTCTACAAACTAGAGACTGTGTAGAAAAGATAAGTTGTGGGCGTATTTTCTATAGGTGGCGCCACAGAAACATGTTTTTGTAACACGTGTAAAGCTGAGCTTCATTGCACTGGTTTTCATCATTCATGACTGGACTGAATCATATGTCGTCTATGTGTATTATTATGTGATACATGGTCTTTAATACAAGGCCTAATGTTCAGTTTTAATGGTCAATTTATAACAAGCTTCATCCATAACTTTGACATACAAATTATTATTATTAATAACTTACAGAAACATGGCTTGCAATGGTCCACCTCCCATCTTCTCTTACACACAGCGAGTCCGCCTCTCTGTAATTGTCTTAGTCCAAAAGCCAAAATTCAGAAAGATATATAATCATTTCCAAAATTCACAACATGTTTTTATCAATATATTCTGCTTCAATCCATATTTGTTGGCAGTTAGCCTTTCAAAATCAATATTTTCAAAAAGCTGTTTGCCGTCTTACTACATTTATATTCATAAGTAGAATACCGCAAAATCATATCTTTCCCATTTTTAAGGATGATGACCAAAAAATTTAAGACGTTCTAAGCTTCATTTGAAAACCTCAATCGAAGCTTAGAATGTAAAGAATTACATTTGGTACAGCTCTAATGGTAATATACGTAACACTATAACTTATCCTATATGGTCAGGTTTATAGTAGAGACTGACTTTCAAAAAAAACATGTTATTTCTGAGAGGTGAAATGTCCATAGCATACATTCGCTAATGCATTTGGAAATGAATGGCTCTCACTGTACTTCACAACAAAGTACTTTTACCGCTCTTTTGTTGGCTACTCACCATCACAAGCGAGTTCAACTGCTCTTCATCCATCCAGTAAAATGTTACGTTTCAGGTTCTTTTTTTTGTGTGCGAGTGTGAAGGCATTAACAGAATTCTGACATTGATGTCCGGGATAATCTACTGATTGTGTGATTGTTGGTTAACTTGTTTTTATCGGCATGCGAAACAATGAAAAAGCTGCAAAAATCAAACGTATACTGCAGTACAAAATAAGAAAGTTTCAGATGTGGCATTGATAGGTTGGTAGAGATAAATGGGTTACAATTTCTGAATTGTTGTGTGATTTATACGCGCAAATTATTTGCATTTGGTCTGGAAAGACCTTAAGGCTGCAGGCTAGATGTGCACATTCCAGGTTTTCTAGATTATACTCTTTTCTTTCTATGTGCAGTCTTCTTTTTACAGGCTATAATTATTATCATGACAAACATAATGCTCACTGTTTTTGTTTTTTACTGGTTTTAAGCAAAGAATTCCTGGATTTGAGGAATAGTTGAGTTCATGATCAGATCAAACAAAGCGCTTTTTAAAAGTGGTCCAAATTTGCTGTGTTTTCCAATGGCACAAATTAATAATAAAAGATATATAGACATTAAAGACAGAAAAAAAAAATTCGGCTCCTGTGTTTGAAGATTTTTTTAGTCAGATTTTTACATTTTCAATTTTTTTTTTTTTTTTCTCACAGTATACTGATTCAGACAAATTCCCATAATTTGTTTTATAAAAACATAAATACCCAACATATGTCTGTGACACATTCGTATTGTTGTAACCTCTACTCCAGGCTTCAATCCAAACGTTGGGAATGCTGCGAGTGCCCTTGGCCTGCTTCTGCTGACATGGCATTGTTTTCTTCTCTCTGTCCTTGGGCACAAAGATAACTTGTGAAATTCCTGCTGGCTGCCTTTGGGGGGCTTGGGGACAGCTTGTGACGCAGGTGGTCAGGACAGGTTTTCATTTTTCTTTGATCAGCAGCAACAAGTGATAAGCCCACGAGAAACCCAATTATGTACTGTATGTACAATATGTCGAACAACTCAAGCGTGTCATACTACAAAGAGGCATATCGACCTGAACTATGAATAATGGCAGGAGCTTTCTGAAATATATAATATGATTTTGTTGGCCTGACACGGAATTTAGAACCAGGTAGTGAAACTCTGGTACAAATGAAATCATACAAAGCATGCTGGCCAGCAATGCAATGGGAACCATCACATTAGGTCTGACCAGGTCACTTCCCTGCTTGCTTGCCTTCAAACTAGAATTCTCATCTCCTTTACTTATCCCTGTCTATTCCAGGCTCTAGCAGAGCCCTCAGCCGTCCATTAAAGGTCTTATTGCCAGCTATCCACAGTCCTTGTGTCTCTTACTTTTACAATCACATGAACATGGGAAGGTGTGAGGCACCTTGCTTCACTTAAGTTTGAAACTAGACCAGCAAAGCTATTGTCAGTATTTGTTCTTTGTTGTTGTGAAAGGTCACCTCTAAGGGGGTGTTGAGCTCTGGTGGAGGCAAGGAGGTGATTGTTCTCTTGTCTTCTTCCCACTCTTTCAGACTGTGGACCTCTGCGTGGACTCATATCCTGAGCACTGCTAGTGCAGGACATGGACAAATAATAGAAAGGTACTGTTGATGATATAAAACTTTTATTGTGTACTTTTTTTGGATGCAGAACTTTTAATTTGTTGGTGAATCTGCTAATAAGGAAAGCTGATAAATAGTTCATTTTGCAACAATAATCTCTTACTAGCAATGTTCTATTCTGATTGCTGAAGCGGTATTGCTGGATTTCACGAGGTCTCTCTTGGAGTGCTCTACCCCAGAATACACCGAGTCCAGACTACCTGATGTCGGTCAACAGCTTACATTACCTTCCTTTGTCTGGCTTTGAAAAGAAGATGTTTGTTACCAGAGAAAGACCGACCTCAACTACTGATATGAAGGTTGGTAGTTTTGACTTTACTAGTCTTGATCTCTTGACAGTTTAGGCTGTAATCTTATCCAAACGTAGGGAAACATTATGAGTTACATTTATGTAAAAAGCAATGGTTTGTAAAAATAAATAAATGAGTAAATAGTTATTTGAGTTGTAATTACATAATAGTTATACGATAATAGAACATTTCATCTATCAATAGTTCAAACTACAGCAGCTTTTATACCTTTGTTTTATTACATAATATTTCCATTGCACTAAAAAAGATTAGTACGAACTCCTCATAGTTCACATGCCAAAAAAGTGTGTCCACTACTGTTCTGTAGGCATCCATATTAGTTTTACTAGCTACCCAGATTCTCCTCTAATAATCCTAAATGTTCCGCTTTTGTTAAAGAGCTACTGCAAACTCAAAATACTATGTTATCTGAGCAGTGGACAGTTCCCATAGAAAAGCTTTTATTAAGTGGGAAGTAGTGAACTAGTCAAGTAAATTCTTTCAAAAATACTTTTACAGTTTCTTGGTCAGTGGGTCCATGTTTAATAGTGAGAATGTGGAATTTCTTCTCAGTTGTACTAGCAAACTCCGCCGTCAGTCACCTTTCTCAATGAGGGATTGAGGCAACAGCATTCTGCAGTCTGTTCTCCTCATCACATTGTCACTTGTGTGAGGCTTCTTCTGGAAAGAGAATCTGATTTAACTCCAGAAACCTTGTAAAGCATTAAACATTCGTACTTAATGTGGGTAAATACTATATGTTGTTTTTTTTTATTTGGAACATTGCAAGAAAAATACATTGACAATCTTTGAATTTTAAAGAAAATGAAAAACCATAAACACCTTTCAAATTATTTACCAGCTGTGTAGTGTTATTGGTATTAAATAGCACAATAGATGTTCAGTATAAAAGGGTTTAATTGTTTTTACTTTAACAAGACAAAAAATGAGGAAATAGAATGTTTCAGCGCACTCTGCTGATCATGATGCTGAATTACTCAAGCAACATCAGACGAATGAGGTCGTATATTCACTTGGCTAATGATAACACATGAAGTATGTGAACATAGAGTAGGTTATATTCCCTCCTCGAACACAAATAGTTTGAAACCACAAATATGTCTTTACTTTTTAGATACTCATATAATGATATCAGCCTGAATGAACATGGTTTTACATTGTCAGAGTAAATATAGAAATGAAAACTTAATTTTATACATGTAGACACACTTTAAGTTTTGATGAGTGTTTTTTCCTTCAGCATAGTTTATTTTCCTGAAGGGAGGGTGTAATTATGTGAATAAAACCATAACAGGTTTCACAGCTTTGTTTTCGGATTTTCACTGAGGGATTCCTTTCTGCCGGCCACTCAGCTGCAGGTCCTGACTCTTGTAAGCATGTTGGCCATCGTTTTTGTACTTAACAAAAATATTTTAACTTATTCTTTTCTGACAAACATAATGCTCACTGTTTTTGTTTTTTACTGGTTTTAAGCAAAGAATTCCTGGATTTGAGGAATAGTTGAGTTCATGATCAGATCAAACAAAGCGCTTTTTAAAAGTGGTCCAAATTTGCTGTCCATTGATTTTGAATTCCAACCTTGAGGAGTATGAGTGGCATAATCATATTTTGCATATTTTATAATTTTAATAAATTTGCAAAAATTTCTGCATTTCTGTTTTTTTCTGTCAAGATGGGGTGCTGAGTGTACATTACTGAGAAATAAAATGAACTTTTTTGATTTTAGCAAATGGCTGCAATGAAACAAAGAGTGACAAATTTAAAGGGGTCTGAATACTTTCCGTACCCACTATATATATATACATATATATATACACACAGCTTGTTAAAAAGTAACAATGCTCATTTACCAAAGGTTGCACATTTTGCGAGTGCAACAGTAGGTGGTGTGGCAACCCGGGGGACGTGGAGGAAAGATTCAGAGATAAAACAGGTGACTCAGAGATAGTAACCATATAACAAAAAGTGTCCTTTAATAAACAGGGTAGGGTAAAGGGGGGGTCAAACTCAACAAAAGATTCCTCCCGGTCGGGGTCTTCGGTCTACACCCAGCGTGAGATGATTCCTCCGTCCTGTTTGGGCAGAGCAGAGGAGAGAGGTGAGTCCGCTGAATAACCTCCGGTCTGCTGCAGCTCCTCTCCAGAGGTTCAGGAGATCCTCGTATTCTTCTGCCCAGTCTGTCTGCCGGTGCTGCTTCACAGCCCTGGGAACATATGCTCATTCTAATTAGCTCATGGGCTGCAGGTGTGACCACTGCCACGCCACGTTCCTAGTGGATGCAGCACCTGCACTGGATCCCTTGTTTTCAACCTCGTCTCCAGTGTCGATCTCTGCTCTTGAGTCTTTGCTCTGCCCCAGAATCATGACAGACAGGGTCAGTCAAGGACTTGCTATTCAAACCAGATAACATGGCAAAACATGATTCCATTAAAACTGCCATACCATCATCATGTGTTACCACCAGCAAATAACATGATATACCTGTGAGACACAAGGATTACTAAAACTTTACACTAAAATATGTCCGATCCCATATCATTGATTCTACACGTTTTCTTACACACGCTTTCTCAACCTTTAATCAAGAGAAGTGATGAGCCCCGTAGCTGACAGCAGCCATTAATAAAGGATGTTTATCCACCAAATATGGGATGAATTTTTGGAATACGGTTGCATATACAAAAGAAAGCATTCTCCTAATTGGGCAGAATATACTGCTGCTATTTGTTGCTTTCACCTTGTGACAAACAAGGCGAGGACAATACACGGTACAAAGAGAGGGAGGGGCAGAGGTGTGGATCAGGGACAGGCTCGGCTTTTGTTTTATTCAGATAAATAAATAAGAGTTTATCATTTAATGTCACGTCATACAAGGTGCTGACTTGATTCAGTTAGCTCTGGTGAGTGTGATGTCATCGTTTCATTTTTAGCTTTGTTTGATTTTAGATATAGTACATTTATTTGGTATTTTACATATTATAGACTTTTAAATGGCATTTTAATGTTAAACATAAATGTGTAAACCCTGTCTTGTGTTGTAAAGTAAACTTTATTATTTTGCCATGATGGATGTAATGAACTTATAGCTACATTAACTGTTATGGTCACACCGTATATTTTGATTTGGGTAAGAGGTTTATGATTCACTTTCATTTTGATAACCACAACTAAAAAACTGTTAGACTTAAAACATCAAAAAAATGATTTCAAACAATCCATTAGAATTCTCATAAATATGTAAGGGCAAAAAAAAAAAGAAAAGTGAATTAAAACAACATGATCCACTCTCTCTCTCCCATGATGCTCTTTGAGCATTGCAGCTGTTGCAGAGTGAGAGCTAAGGTTAGGCACACTGAATTATCACTCATCACCATTCTCGTCGTCACCCTTTGTCCTGTGGTGTCGTCATGGCATTGTTCCCTTTTCCTTGAGGCCTTGAGGACAAAGATAAACCTGTGAAATTCTTGTCTGGATTTTTTCTCTCTGATTGAGGGCAGTGATATAGCTGAAGTGCTGTCTCTCGTTTCATGATGGACGAGGGGTAACAGGTGTACGGCACTAAAGAATATACCTAGAAACCGCCCTTTATTCTACACCACAAGTTTCATTTTTATTCCATTATGGAATGTAATTATTAGATAGATGTTGATCGTTTGAATCCATGCAGTACAAACAAATTGATTTAGATTCATTTTAGTTTCATGGAATGTAGCCATCTGTCAACTCTCACCTCTTGTGAGATATTGTGACAGTTGTTCAGAGTGTGTTTCACATTGTTGCACTCGCTCTAATTCCCAGCTGTCCAAATCCCTGCGGAAATCTTCATCCGTTTTGTGCCCCCTTCCTGACTTTCCTCCCCTTCTTTGGGCACGGACTTGCCACCGGAATCCTCTAAGGTGATGCCACTAATGTTGGCGGCAAAACCATCGATGGAAAGAACAAACAATGTCACCTTGATGCTATTGTTGCTGTTGTCTGCTAATTAGTCCCATAGTCTAAACACTTTAGTCCTACATGTTAAGCAGTTGACACAGAGGAGCCTATAAGCACAGAGGTAATGACGTTAAAGGGTTGAGTCTTAAAGGGTCAGCAGGAAAATAAATAAAGCAATGGCTCATGAGTTTATTTAGTGTTAGCATGAAGGCGACAAACAATAACATGTGTTTTATGTCTTATCTTGTAATCTCTCTGCAAATATCTAAATCCTTGGAAGGACGGGGCCACGTGAGATCAAAGTCAGCATGCAGTGCTCAACAAGTGTCAAGCTGATAGCTGCCCTTCACTTGGATCCCTCTGATAGTGTCAGAACCTGATCACCAGTCGCTCCTTGCGCTACTGCTGGAGAATGAAGTAAGCCTCTCTTGAGCTGGAAGGTAGATCTATTGTAAACAGAGCTGATTAAGTTTTTTATAATTGGATACTTTTTTTAATTTCAGCTTTGTGTTTGTTATATTGTATATTTAATTGTTATATAATTATATTGTTTTCAATTTACTAATTATGTTTCACTATATAAAAGAGTTTAGTTTATAATGATTGTAAACCTCAGTGTTACATTGTTTTACTGCACGTTACATAATGCAGCTTGGTGATATGGTTTGAAATTGTTCTAACATTATTACAATGGGTATTTTTTTAAATATTAACATGTACAATGTGGCAAATGTTCATTGAACTCCAGTTTTTTCCACTGTTACGCATTTCATAAGACCAAACTCTTCATGTATGTATAATCAAAATATTAATTTGAACAACGGTGAAAACATGAGAAGATTTCAGTACATCACTATGAGATAAGTCTGATGAAATGTGACCCATTAGATTGACTAGAATCAGTGAATTATGCTTTAGATTTGGTGTTACGTCAAAACCTCTCCTAAAATGTATCACTGTTGAAGTATTGTGTCTGATCTAAGACACACAGAGATAGAATCTGTTACCTTTAGTTCGGTGCCTCAACTGAGCGACTGTCTGAATACATTGAACATCTAAAACATCTAAAAGTGGAAGTCTAATTTACCTACAGATAAATAGCATCTTTAGATGTTGCTATTGTGCTGTAATTTCCACATCTCTGTATAGAGATAACAAAAGTGGTCTCGTCTGGTTTGGAGGGTCATTTTGTGCTTCAGGTCTCCACCCAGTCATATTAGATCTATAAATATGAAAAACAAAATGAAATCCACATCTAAAGATTTCTTCTTCTGACCTATATTTTACTTTATATTCAATAAATGTACAAATGTTCTTTGTTTATAGTTGTATAAACAAGTTGTTTTTAGTGTTAGAGGCCATTTTACATGGCAATAAAATCATCTTTCTTAATTTCCAGACTTTCAATATTTAGAATCTGAACAATAAAGTGGGTGAAATAGTTCCAATGAAGTCTTAGTGCAGTAAGAAATGGCATTAGAATTATGACAGAATCACATAATAAAGGATGCACTTTTTCCACGAAAATTACACTTTATTTGTGAACATTCTTGAACAAGTTGGTACTACATCATTGGCAGATCTTATTCTCTTCTTTTTTCACGAAGACTATAATGAAGTGCAACGTTTGTGTTATTACTACAATTCCAGGCTGTTCATGTGACACCGACCCACACAATAGCATCCCTCACAACACCATTAAGAAAAGATGTTTTCTTTTTTTTTTGCATTGGGATTCTCTTGTTCGACAGTGATTTTTAAATTTGGGTCAATGTAAGTTTTTAAATGCCAATAAAAAGTTGGTCTCCTTTAAACAGATATTTAACTGCCATAGAATTATGTTTACAATCCATGTTTCCCCTGTATGTAGGTTTATTAGGGAGAAGGTGAAGAAACCTCTGAAATTACATTTCGACCACCATGAGTAACTTTCCACTGAAGCATATTCTCCAGAGGGCTAGCTGTTCTTTCCTGTTTTGATTCTATTTACAGATATATTTACAGTTTTATTGGTGTGGTCAGGAAAGGACCTTTACTAACTGATATATAATATATTCACATAAAGCCAAGATTGTTCCCCTATATTGTCAATGTGATCATTTAGTCACAATCTAGTCATAAATGTATGAACTTTTTAGGATTTAGGGGTGTCAGTAAAAACAGTGAAAAAAGAAACCTCTCTGTAACAAAAGAAAGTCCGTTCAGAGGGTCAGCACAAGGTGGCAGGAGTGACCTTTTGTAACCCTAGTCCATTTGTGACCCTCCACAGGAGGAGAATTTAGTAGTTTTGTGTCAGGTTTCTTTTGTGCTGTCTAATGCTAACCCTTCTGATGTCTTCATCTACTGAAATTCATTTACCAGCTGGGTGATAGTTGTCATGGGTCATGAAGTGAAAGCTGGTGAATACATACACGTGATATGACTTATCTTGGTTAATTAACATGGAGAATTCTGCCTGATTGAAATGAATGAGGACTCTACACGTTAATTTGAATGCACTTTTTCTTTATTCTACAGAATTACATTGAAGACAAAGGGGACCACAGCAAAGGAGATCCCAAAGGTCTTAGGTGGTCGTCTGAGAGTTTCACTCCTCATCTAGCCCTTTCTGTGATGAAGAATAATAAGAGAGTAGACAAAGAGACACGGATTAGTGACAGCGGAGCAACAAGACCCAACAAGTGTTACCAAAGGTAACTTGAAGATGTTACTAGTGATTCAACATGAAGGAGGTTTATTTTACTGTCAGCTTACCTTTACCGTAGTATGTTGGCTTGGCACAAATCATTTGAAATGCTTGAGTATTATTGTGTAATTTGTGGGATGAGATGAATCTAAAGAATGTAGCAATGAATGAATTTGGAGGAGAGCTAAAATGTTTAAAAAACTGAGTTCTGTTGAAATAATTTAGTTAAAACATTTATTTTTCAAGATAGAAGGTTAAAGTCAGGATAAACCAAAAATAAACATGTCTTCTGAGTTTGTCACAACACAAACCAATGTGTTAATAACCGCCCAGCCACATTTGAATGATTATAAAATCCGTTAAGTATACAAATTAGGTTTCAAAATCATAAAAAAGGCAGTGTGATGGATGAGGGTTGATTTCAAATGTACAGTTACTGTAAATACCACATATTGTACATCTCACTACTGCATGCTACTTTTGCTGAATGTTAACCACATGTTCTATGGGCAGAGCAGGGGCAACAGAGGCTTCCGGCTTGACTTTCTGAACGTTCTTGGACCAAATTGCTAAAGTTCTGACACATTTTGTGGAGGTTGTGACACAATTTATACTCCGTTTAACAGTGACAATAGTAGCGATGGAGCAGGCTACGGCGGAGCCTATGACCTAAGCACAAATTAAACCGGAACAGACATGACCCACTGGAGTTTGTCCCGGTATGTCAGATGGCCAGTACACCACAGCTGTGGTAAGTAATGGTAGTAACTGGAAATTTGATCAGCAGAAACGCTAATGCTATGTGTGTTTAGAAACAAACCTCAGATTTCCCGGACTTTAACAAAAATGTGGGTAAGTATACCAACACTGCCACAACATCAGCATATCCCACTCACTGCATAAGGGCTAATAATACAGTTGGAACTGTCAACACTAATTATTACTATTTATCTATATAAATTATTTAGTTTACATCCATTTGATTGGTTGAATGTTTATTGGTTTCTCTGCATTCACAAAAAAACACTGATAGTTATTATTATAAAGAATATACTTTTTTTTTAATTAACAATTTGAATCTTTTTGTAGTCATAGTTGGCTTTTAAATTACCATGGTACCTTCTGTGTAACAAAAAAAGCAGTACTACTAACATTAAATTTCACTAATACAACTAACTAAATTAATTCAAAGAAATGTAAATAAAATTGATCTATACAAAAACTGGTTTGGCTTATTTACTCCTTAATAATTCTATTTAAAATGATGAACATTTCTATAATTACTAATTAAACGGGATTAACACACATCAATGGATTACATTGAAATGGTTAATGGATCATTGAATAGTAGTGTGCAGTATTGTGAAGGCAGTAGGACAGTATATGAAGTGGAGAGGCTTCTTACCTTTGAGCCCACATCACGACTTTTGGCACGCAGCTTGTTGACCTGAGACTCTGCGATGTCAGCTCGTTCTTCAGCCTCGTCCAGCTCGTGCTGCAGTTTGCGGAACTTGCCCAGATTAGTATTGGCCTGCTCTTCCTACAGGATTCAACAAAAACAAAAGGCCACAATATACTATTACTGCAAGAAGCAATGAACCTGGGGCCACATGCTCTTCAGTTGTAAGGGTTTTCACAGCTTCAACATTGTAGTTTACCAATTAGGTCTAAAACAAGTCATAGTGGAGACTGAGATGTTTTCTGCCTCAAACTTAAAACTGCTGTTTTAATAGTATTTTAGCAACTACCAAATGTAATAAATTGTACAATATAAAAAGACACAATTGACAAAAGTGAAGTAGTTTTGAATAAATAAAGGAACAGTGTCGTGAGCACACAGCACAAATAAAGGACAACTTTCCACACTTACAGCCTCCTCAGCAACTCTCTTATAGGCTTTGACTTTCAGCTGCAGTTTGTCAACCAGATCCTGCAGACGCACCATATTCTTGCGGTCCTCGTCAGTCTAAATAAATGGAGGGAATAGGTATAAGCCTCTCAAGTTTGATAAGGAGAATATAGAGAATATTCATAAAAATGTGTTGATCCATTCATAAAAAAACAATCACCTGGTATGTGAGCTCTTTAATGCGTCTCTCATATTTACGGATTCCCTTCACAGCTTCAGTGCTCTTCTTCTGCTCTGACTCCACCTCACTCTCCAGCTCTCTCACCTGAAAAACATCAGAAAATGACTTATTGAAAATGCACTGTTCCACAAGAATATATTTTAACATTTAACTCCCAAGATAATTATCAGTCCACTCTGCGGCACAGCTGAGCTTTTTAACCAATTTCAGCTCACCGTTTTTTTTACATTCAATGGCATGGCACAGTCTCAAAGGTCTGATACACTGTACACTACCTGCCCATAATCAAACAGCAGAAAGAAAGTTAGCGACAACCTGGTGAAGGAATATGATTATCTAGCAAACTGAAAATAAGCATTTTCCTTTTTCCATTTGAAAGATTCTGCATGGTGGGATGATCATGTTGTCTGCTTACGAGTTCAAACTGTGATACTAAAGCTTCATGATTATTAAATGAATGTTGGTCCATAGACTGTATATAAGAAGTGGACGTAGTCACTGTGACTTCACCCATTGGTTTGTGGACTATTTCGAAGTCTCTAGTGGGGCATGTTAGACGCCACCATCTTGGATTTTGGCCGACGGCATGTTGTTTTTTTGCAGTGACACAAGAGGGTGGAGCTAAGTACAACCTAGCACCCTGTCAATCCCAAGGTAGCCCCGCCCTAACTAATACTCCTCTTTATGGTCTATTTGACTCTAAATGGACCATAATTCACTAAATGAACATCATGATGTATTGAAGAAGACTTGAAACTAGAGATTGAGACCACAAACTCATGTTTACAATGTTTACTGAGGTAATAAATCAAGAGAGAAGTAGAGTCATTTTCTCATAGACTTCTATACAACCAGAGGAGTCGCCCCCTGATGGACATTAGAGAGAATGCAGATTTAAGGCCCTTTTGCATTGGCTTCACTTTTCAGAACCTGAGAATTGTACTTGCAGAAGTGTGTAAAATTTGTATATTGGCTAATTTCTCTTACCCTGGCCTCGAGCTTCTGCAACTGTTTCTTGCCTCCCTTCAAGGCGATCTGTTCAGCTTCATCCAGACGGTGCTGCAGGTCTTTGATGGTTTGCTCCATGTTCTTCTTCATGCGCTCCAGGTGAGCACTGGTGTCCTGCTCTTTCTTCAGCTCCTCTGCCATCATGGCAGCATCAGTAATGGCCTTCTTGGCCTTCTCGTCAGCATTTCTGCACTCCTGCACCACTTCCTCTACTTCAATTTGAAGCTGGGAAGCATCAACTTCAAGTTTCTTCTTCTGGTTTATAAGGCTGGTGTTCTGATATGTGAGATTTGAGAGATTGTTACTGCAGTTAGAAATAGTAATGCCTTTGATTTCTTCATAACATCCAAAAAAAACAGTCAGTCATCCGTGGTTGTTGCAATTGATTATTAGATCTTACCTGTGAGTGCAGTAGCTGCACCCTTTCACTAACGTCCAGCAGCTCTTGCTCAGCAAGTTTGCGACCTCTCTC